ATTGGAATAACTAATGGAATGATACGATTTAAGAACAAAGAAAACGACTACAACATTCTCGAGACATATACTTTGCTTCGTTTGATTAACTCATAGTGGCAGTCTTTTATTTAATCAACGACGATCACATCGATTTGCACGTGTTTCATTCAATTAATCCAAATAGCAAAGCAAACCGTTGAATGAAACGTAATCATTGAAAGATGCCACTTGCTGAGAGATGAACACGAGAAATGCGATTATCGTTACTCGATATTCGAATCAATCTATCGTCCTCACCATCAACCACAAAAAGTCAATTGGCTTGTCAGAATCCGTTTTTTATAATCAGTGTCTTTTATTTTTGTTTTCTTTCGAATCGACTCTTGTTGATTGAATAAATACATAATACACGTTTCTTCTAAGATCATTTTGTCGAACGTCAACCGGTCACTGAATCTGCTCCTATTATTATTTCTTCTAGATTGGCTCATCTCACTTTGATGTCGACCGAACATAGAAATAATTCACATCGGTGTTGAATCACTTTATCTGTTGTTGCTTTTTTTCGCTTTCAAACATAGATAGATAGAGTTAGTTGCATATAACATGACACTATTCTATTGAGAAATGTTTCTTGACACATACATCACATTCTAATAAAAATCAATCAATCATTTCAGTCGGAAACAAAATCCTCTTTTCGATGTTTCACTTTGTTTTGTAGAACACGATTGTTAATACGTACTGAAGTATGTTACGAGAAAAGTCAACCACTCGTGGATTGTCTCATCAATCAAACAGACATGTGAATATACTATTTTGTCTTTTTTTTAGGGAGTTTTAGCATTCGAATAAGTTTTTCAACATATTAACTATTCAATTTCGATGGATTAGCTTTTAATATCAGGTAACACCAATTTGATATTTCATGATATATTTTAATAACTATGGCATGCCTCTTGAGCGAGATTGATAGGCGTCTGACCTACTACAAATATTCAATCAAATAACGAGTGTCTATCAAAAGAATTTCGTGAGAAAATTAAATAGCCATCACTGGAGCTCAAAACAAACTAAACTCAACCTTAAAATAATATACGTTCGCTTGCAAGTCGGAAAAATCCATGCGGACTTCAGTCGCACGAAGAGCTTTTATTAGTAATCGTAACAAAACTCGAAGGTAAATGTCAAGCGCCTTTGAAATGTGATTGTATGATGAATATTTATATGATCTTGTGTGATGATATTAATACAATTGCCTTTCTGGAGCTCGTCAATTTGTTTGAAGGCCGATTTAGAGTTATACTAACTCATAAATCAGCGTATTTTACGCTGTTTTTGAATGATAAGCTGGGGGCCGATAACTAAAGAATATATCAGACTGATCTCATATGTGAACAAAAAGTTTTTAGTATAAATCCTATTGAATTGAAATGTGCAACACAATGGAGTTGTTTTAATTGTATAACAAGACTTTTGCTGCATTGAACATGACACATGGCAAGCTTAGAGATGTACCATGTCTAAATGTCTGTGAGGCCCGGTTAAACAAGGTTCACTTTTCTTTCTAGATTTTCATTAATTCCATATACGTAATTGTTCATACAAAGGCATGGATCTTCCCTGTATGAAAAATTTTCAGTGTTGTCAAATGCAAATTAATTCTTCTGGTAGTGAAGATGATGCTACATATTTTGCATCACTCACGTAATCCATATATCAGCGACAGAAGCATCGTCTAATTTTAAGTGAAGATCTATTCCCTCTATAGTATTGAAAAATATGACTAATCCCAAAGCTTCGAATGCATCGGACTGAGACGCGACAAATATCAGCTCACAACCTGTCTCACCGTTCACCGACTTACTATATGATTTCTTTTTCAAAAACATCTATCTGGAGTAATCTTCACTTTCGAACTTTTTGTATCATACAGATTCTGCGTTCAAACTCACTTTTTATTTCAATAGTAATTTACAAACTTATTTCAGAAACGCACTTAAACTTCAAAGTCAGGAACATCGCCCACAGAAACATATTACACGCCTGGCTTTTAAGAAATAGTACAAGCCATTGATCTCATAAGTGCCTCTTGGCGTTGTCCTGCCGGACTAAATCGAAACGCAAGTCGCTGCATTGGTTCATAGTAATTTCTACGCATCCACATTTGTCTGTAAGCCATAATTCTTTTCACTTGTCGTGATTGACCACCAATAACAATGGATTGAACAATCACTAATTGACGTCTAACTTGACCTATTTCATAAAATTCATTATTGCTATCGGGACAAAGTGCTGGTACATTGAAAAAGACTTTGTCCTCTAATTCATCAGGTGAAAGTGCCAAACCCAGTAGAAAAATTAGTCGATCTTCTTCATCCGACATATTTCTCCAATTTGAATAGTTCCGATACCGACGAATATTATTATCATCATAATCAATAACAGTGCATACACAATCCAAATAGTACATGATTCGAGCAATATCAGCATCTGGTACACTGGTTGTTCTACCGATTTTCTTGAAATCATATTCAGTACTTCCAAAAGCAGCCATGTCACTGAGATAAAGCGAGTGATGAAAATCTATCAATATTGTTAAAGAAATCTTCTCCCTTCCAAACCCTTCTACCTGATTCAATGATACATATATATATAGTTCTTTTTACTTCCGTCGTCAAAAAGAAAGAGAAG